GACCCATCTAAATCCGTGCTTTGCAATCCTTGACCTTGCGCAATCTCTGGAAAGTTCAATCCAACCTGAGCACCTCGCTTAATCTCTCCAACATCTTCGGGTTGTAGTATCTACCTAGGCAGAAAAAGGCTACAACTTTCCATGGAAAACCGAGCATGCCTAACATAACCCTGAGTCTGCCATTACCGCTTATACGGCATCCCCAGTCAGATCCACTCCTCCCAGCTCCTCTCCACAACGCACTTACACATTTAATCTTTTGGTGAAAGTTCTGCTCCATGGCTTCTTGGAGAATTTCATAGTGCAGCTCCTGGGCCCCTTGCAATCTACGTGTCGTCATTCCGCTTCGAATTCCGCGATCTCGTCATCCACCGGACACTGAGGCGCTTCTCTCCTTGACTTTTGTCATGACGCATCATCAAGCTCAAAACCCGTATCATTACGTTCTACGAATAATCAAGTCACGGCCACATCTCCAGGGTCCTCCATCATGCAGAAAGAATCACGATATCGAACGTCCGTGGTTCCAAACAGCTTCCTTCTACCCCCTTGTGAGTCAAACAATGCACTGCTCTTTTACTCATACACAATAGCTTTCACTATGTTGTAATAATGTGCAACTACCCTCCCATATACAAGTCAGCAAGCTTACAACGAAATTAGACTCAATCGATCCGACAGTCGACCATTCATTAGAAAGTCGACACCCCCGTTCAGGCAGACACCCAACACTGCAAGCTTCCAGAGACCACCCCACGTCTGTCGTTACTCTGCTGCCAGCACTGCCGTGCCCAGCATTGAATCCCAGCAAAAATAGATCCTTCTCTCTTGCTCACTCTATTAAGCGATCGAAAATCCTCAAACTCCTCAACGATGCACGGTGCGGATAACACTATACAATACACCAACCCCTTTATCCAAGTTTGAATCCAATCCCTTGGCTTGCATAACATCCTGATGACTACACATATCCATACTGCCTCGTTAGTACCATCCGAACCACAGACTGAGACGACAAATATTCTTACAATCGTCAGAGTAGGTGCAATTTTATTCATCTCGCCACTCGCTGGTAAGTCCTCCGCCTCCGAATATTTAAATTTAGCTGGCAGAACTCTCATTTTCTGTTAATGCCCGTTGCCTTCCATTTCTTGGAACGCCGGACACGTAAAAAACTCCCTTCGGGTGGTTCCTCCTGTTGCCGAGCACACACTCCCTCAGCCTTTGCAAGCGCTGCGTAGTGGCCGTCTTCTCCGCACTGACAGATTTACCGGTCCTCCCTTGATCGCGTGCCAATTCGGGAACGCCACACGGATTAACACTTCCGCACAATTACTTTCTCTCTAACGCGGCAGTTTACCCACCCAATGCGAACACGGCCGCTGTGTGTGTGTGCGTGCGTGCGTGCGTGCGTGCGTGCGTGCGTGCGTGCGTGCCTCAAAAAAGTTTACTATGTTTTAGAGAGTTTATACAACAGAAATATAACTGTCTGTAAAAATAGGGATCTTTAGTTTATCAAAAATACTTTAAATAGACAGTTCATAATTGAATACAAAAATTAAGTTCGAGTGGCATTAAAGTAGTATTCAAAATTTTATATTTGACAGCTTGAACGTTTATAATAAAATATTAATTATTGTAAGGTATGGTAGATTTGCGTTCATAATTGCTGTAAAATAATTATACTCATTGTCACTGCTTCTCCCAAATGTAGAAATCAAGAATATTTCACATAAATTTACAACTTTTTAAACCTGCTTTGTGTTGAATCTCAAAGTTGAAATTTAATCTGCAGTTTGGTAATGTGTGTGCAAACACTCTTATGTGTGCAAATTTCAAAATTTTATCTGCTGCCCCAATAGATAGAAATATAGGCAATTGGAAATTGAAAAGAAAAGAAAAAGTGGGGGGGGGGGAGGAGAAAAAAAAACCTAATTCTATTTTTTAAGAAGTAATTTTAAGTGCCACACTACTTCTTATTGATATTTTATGTAAATTAACTGTTCTGTTATGTGTAAAAGCATGGAAAAATTTAAAATTGTGTCTCTATTCCTTATTTGAAAATTTACTCTTAAAATTGAATTTTTTTCATTTGCATTCAATACTTCAGTTGCATATATTACCTGCATAAACACATATTAGGTAAATTGATTTCTTGTCACTTTGATTTGTAGGTCAGTGTTTACTGAATCCAATGTACTGTATTTTAGTTTCAAATGCTACAACAACCTCAACCTGGCACTGAGTAATTTGCAAAACTGTGAATGCCTACAAACGCCAAAAATTGCCCGTAACTTTAAACAAAAATGGCCACCGTTTGTGAACCACATGCAATTTTTTTGAATGGCTTTGAACAATCAAAACATAAGAGAATTTATTTACAAAGGATGAGTTTTTTGAGAGAGATTTGAGCATCCATGCAGAATCAGTTATAATTGATTGAACCAGATTCATAACTTTTAGAGATAATATAAGGAAGAATTTTCTGTGGTGGCTTAGTTTCTCATCAATTAGTGATTCAAATATGTTTTTTTACATTTGCATTCATATCTCAATAAAATTATAAGCATTTAGCAGTAAGCATTAAGCACAGAGTAAATCATAACATAGAAATTCCAGATTTATGATTATTTTTAGCCTGTTCGAAGATCATCCTTAACTCCACCACCTGAATGTAAAGTAACATGGCAAGAATACATTCAGAGTGATTGTGGAGCTCATCCTCCTCTTGGGAGAGAACTTGTGTATAAAGAAACCAACAAAACATTTAAAGCCACAGTTGCTATGGTATGTTATTATGTATCACACAATTGTGTTATGATTTTTACAAAATTCTAATAATTTTTCTTATTGTTTGCCTGTTTTCTTTTTTTTTTCAGAGTCCTGATTTCCCATTGTCTGTAGATATGTTACTGAATGTACTGGAAGTAATTGCTCCCTTCAAACATTTTAGCAAATTACGAGAATTTGTGCTCATGAAGCTTCCACCTGGATTCCCTGTAAAAATAGGTATGATTATTCATAAATTATTCATCTTCTTCAAAATATTTCTTCTTTACTCTGAAACCTCTTATCCCTTTTGAGCACTTTGTTACTCATTTAATTCAATTCTTGCTCCTGTATCCCCAAATTGAAATGATGTTTTAGCGGCCATGAAGTGCATTCAACAACATGAAAAGCTCTGTTCGGTATTTTGTTTTCATGGAAAAATCTCTATGGTTGGTTGCGATCCAACAACAAACTAATATTCTGGGAGGAAGTTTTTCAGAATAAAGAAATAGAAAATAGTCATAATATCGCACCTGAAACACACTGTATCACTCTGACACAAGTGTAAATTCATGCCTTTTTTTGCGAAAATGTATTTAAAGCATGTTGGTCATGAGTCGTGAGCAGCAATACCACAAAGACAGGTCTGCCTGTGAAGGGAAGAGTTACAATCCTCTCTTTGTTTCTCTAGGTAGCTTTAGAAATATTGTGATATTAATCACTCATTTAGGACTATTTATGGAGTACAAATTATACAGACAGATTAGAAGGTGGGAACAGCAACAGCTGTGTATCAAGGAGACACAATTAAGAAATTAAAGTTCAGATAATGTGGAAATTGCTCAAATATTCAAGGTGAGGAAATTGTTATTCTGAAGTCGCTTTGAATGCTTATAAAAGTACACAATCTATCGGACAATAACAAAACAGCCTTAACAGTCAGTACTAATTACTAACAACATGGTCACATTGGCATTGTTGGAAAATAATTTTAAGTGTAGCCCAATTATAGAATCAATTGTGAATGAAATAAAAAGCCTGGAAGAGGGCAAATGAAAAGTGTATATTGGGACGGGCTCATTTCATTAAAGGCAAAAAAACTAGCACACAAGCTCACCAAACAGACTGCTGAAGATAAAGAATTACCCGTTACATGCAACAAAATTTCAAAAACCACATCAGGAATAAAACTTTGTGATGAGGCACTCCAAATTTGGCAGAACTGATTGAACAATACAACTAAAAGCAAAATCACTCACTTTTTCTTTAACATGAAAGACAGAATAGGACAAATTACCTACAATACAAGAATTCACTGCAATTATAACAGGACACAGCAAAACTAAATCATACCTACACCAATTCTTTAAAATCGACTATCCAACATGTATGTGTATCAGAGAATAAACAGTATATGACTATTATTATGATGGCCCATTAATACTACGAGAAAAAAGGAAACTTGTACAGATGATTAAAATGAAGGCTTCGATGGCTGAAAGCATCAGCTGATGTCACTGCAGTGCTTCTGACAAGGAGGTCCTAGGGTTCCAGACCCGACATTGGCAGGATTTTCAACTCTAGGTAGACAGCTCAGTCAAATTCTGTCTCAGTTTGCTGCTCATTCTGGAGGAGAATTCTGGTGGCTGGCTGCTCTGGTCAGTGTTCTGTGGTTTCTCCACTCAGCACCAGGTGAATGCTGAAGCAATACCCTAACAAACAGGCCATGGGTTGCCAGCGATCTTTCCTTCCTTTTCCTTATTCTATCCTCAACTTCGACTTACACTCACACATGCTCTGCACTACAATATCGCACATTAGGGACTTAGGGACTTGTCCCAGCTGGGATGGTGCCCCTCTGGTGGGAGATACCTGGTTAGGGAAAACGTGCAAGCCAACATGTAGGTTGGCAGTAGATCTGCAGAGGAAGAATACAGCCACCTGTTATAAAACATGCACTACGCATATGGCACTAATGACCATAGCAGTTGATACACCTGGAAACATAAAATAATCAGTTAACCATAGAAACTAGTGTTCAGATATTGATGAAAATTTAACCAGTTCATTCAAGACATTAAAACATTAGTGTATACTTAACCCTGGAATGCTCACAATAGGTTGTTAGATCCAAGCCATGCCAAATTTATGTTTTTGAATTATTGTGATGCATTAGTCATCTGATATTTCATGTATTCCTTTATTGAACTTTTCTGAGAATGCCTCGCTTTCTATTTTAATCATTTTGCTGAATCATTTCCTGAGACCATGTTGAAAATCGATCGCTGATGTGTGTGGTATCCGTCAGATATGTTGCTTGCACTGGCGCCAGTGCATTGTGAGCTCTTGACCTAAATGGCATTGTTTTCGGCTGTGTCTATGACGAGTGCCTATTCAGAAAATGTAATCATTTTTCTAATCTAGGACCGACTGTCACAATTTCTTCCCAAAGAGAAAGACGATGTCATCAAGAAAGCTTGCTGTGTTGTGTAATTTTTTAACTCTTTTACAGTAGTAATTTTTAAGATACCAGTTAATGTATTAAATGCTTTAATTTCAACTACATTATGTCTTCTCAGGCAGGAGTCTTTGTTAACTCTTGATGGTTGTTAGGTTATCTTTTAATTTTAATCATACTTAAATATTAATCTACTAGTCACACATAATTATGTAATATCGATTTTTTCAATAACATAACGCTTTATATCTATTATATTGGTTTCTTTACATAAAGATTCTATGGAGTATTATATATATTTTTATAATTAATTTAATCAATCGGTTTTTGTATTTTCATTAATGGTACTACTATGGATCTGTATACTCCACCCCAAGCCACTATACCGTAAATTATAATTGACCGAAAAAAGCATAGTATATAATTAGCAGTAATAATGTAACAAGATTATAAAATGTTTAATGATTTTTGCATGTACTTTGTCAGTTTTTACCTTTTTCACCATAAATATTTAGACAATATTGCTGCAGTGTAGGATTCATAAACAATTGCATTAGGAGTCTTGTACAAAGAAAATAAAATACGTAATAGAGCTACAGATCATGTGCATTCTCTAAAAGTTGCAGCTTTATCTGAGAGATACATTGCGGACACTGGCGTAAGTCTACCTATTGCGGACACTGGTGTTAAAAATTCTCTTTGTAGAGTATATTATATTTTATAAAAAACTTCTAAAACTACTTGAAATATTAAAAAGAAACATTAGAATTTGTGAAAAGTTATTTGTTTACAGTGAAACTACAATATCAAAACAATTCATCAATAGCAAAGTGTATTATGTCTACATAGAAAATGTAATATTGACATCAAAAGGCAAAAACAAAGGATTTAGATCTTTAGTTTCAAAGATGTAGAGAGGACAAAAATATTAGTGATTATTATTTCTGCTATTGTGGTAAAGAGTTGGTGTTAACAGACGGATGGATGTTTTGGCGTCAATTGGCTTTTTCGTATCAAAGATCCACAAAACAGGAATTTTGGCTACACCACGTGTTAGATGATTTTTTCTTAATTTAACAACTGGATTTGTCCTCTCTTTCGTTAACAGGGCCCGACAATAAATTTTTCTCTGCCGAAAATCCGCCGTTTTTTCACACAGCATTGTATAACTTTCCCTATACCACATATATTACTCCGTATATATTTATGTATACTGTATGTATACTATATGTATGTAGTAAAAATGGTATGTGATGGAATAACACTGAGCTCAGTTATGAAATCAGTGCTTCAAGAAAATATAACTTTTGTATACATTTTTTAAAGTTTTTATCTTAAATTTGCAAGCCTGTGTAAATAAAAGAAGCAGTTAGAACTTACCAACCTACGTTCTGTTCATAGACTACGGAAAAGCATGTAACAGGGTAAATTGGAAACTGGTATTGAAAACCTTCAAAAAAGAGGAAATAGATGCCCACCTAATAGGGGGTAGTAAAGAATTTATACAAAGTTTCAGAAATGAAAATACCAAATGTGGTTGGAAATATTTCAGAGTAAACTACATCAAATGTTACAACAACAAGGATGCACACTTTTCCCACTTCCAATTAACTTATACATGAACAAAACATGAAAGGACAATACTAAATGCAGATAACCTAGCTTCAATTAGCAACATCGGAAGACATTTTACAAATTATAGCTTATAATTTAAACAATATCACAAAGAAATATAAAATGAAAATATAACTCACAAAAGCAAAGTTGCTGGGATTAATAGGTAAAAGATACACCAGAACAAAAATAGTAACTGAAAATAAAATAACAGAACAAGTTGCTATATTTACATATTTGAGAAATATTACTGATAAGACAAAATGTAATGAAAATTAACAGTATACAGAAAAATATAAGACTGTAATTTTGTTGAAAACCCACTTCATTGTATGGTTGTGAAGCATGAATATTAAAACAGAAATACCATAGATTCATAGAGACGAGACCAAATGATATATTTTAGTTCAATTTTGAAAATGAGAGACAAGATCAGAAATTAAGAGATTTTGAAAAAAAAAAATAAAGTTAAAACATTGTTTTAGAAATTGAGAAATGCCAAAAGAAGTAGCAAGATCATACAAAAGGAACAAAGATAGATAGTTTTCCTAGAAAAGAACTCAATTCAAGCCCAGAGGAAGAAGAGGCCCAGACAGACTCTGGAAGAAAACTCTGAGGATACCAGGAAAACCTTGGAAACCAGTAAATGAATACTGGAAAAAATTAAGGGACCATGCCAAAAGGCTTTAATCTTATATGTTCATGATTATATTTCTGAATAATTTTTTTGGGATCATTTGCCATCTTATTGTTTTGATTAGAGTAAACTTCATCAATGCACATATTTTTTTAAAAATTCTGTTATGAATTCTTGTTTTCTGGTGCAAAAAAGACCATTATTATAATATATTTGAAGGTTTCTTTTCTATTATTATTATTATTATTAATATTATTGTTGTTATTGCTGTGAAGCAACCTGTGGCTACAATTTGTATTATTAAATTTTCAGATATTCCCATTCTTCCTACAGTTACTGCAAAGATAACATTCCAGGAATTTGCTTTTCGAAATGATATAAAGTCCGAACTCTTTGAAATACCATCATACTATGAAGAAGATCCTACAAGGTACAGTTCTTAATTGTTAATTACATTGTCTCTTTGTATTAATCCATGCAGCTTTCATCTTCAAACTACAGAATTTTATGTAATTAATAACAATAACTAAGAATATTATGCACTATGATATCTTGTGAACCTACTTTACCTCAATTTATGTTCACAATAAAAATGTTACTCAGTATGTGAACTTTAAAATAAACATAAATAAATATCCACTATTTTGTACTTATGTGAAGCCAATGTTATTAGAGAGAAAACAAGCTAACTGTAGTTGTGCAGATTTGAGTGTGTAGGATATTAATCAGGAATAGCACGAAACAGAAAATGCTAACAAATGAAGTTTCGTCTTTAAGAATGTATTTCTATTTTAGAAATTTTAAGAAAAGTGTTTTACTTCATTTAGATGAAATTCAAAGACTTTGTTCACCTTAAATTCTTCCCTTCGTTTATTTACAGGTTTCCTGACTTATGACGTTTTGATTTGGTCATGTTATATGGTATTCAGACTAATTGCCTGCTAGTCAGAGTTTCTAGTAAGAACTGTAATGCTCATGGTTGGCCAAATGTGTTCCAGCCCCTTCACATCGTGTGGAATGTTATGTGCATTACAGGTAAATTGACTCATTAAATTGTAAATTTGTAAATATATTTATTATGAACCTTCAAGGTAATTCACATTGCAGTGAAACCCAGTTCGATGAGTTTCTGATGTTACATTTTACTGTATGTCTTTCATAAAACTAAGTGTTTTACTTTTTTGATACTGTCTGTAGTCAATAAGTACATTTTTCAAATGTCCATGCAAAAGCTACAAGTATAAGAACTATTTCATTTTAAACTCCAATCAAATTATTGTATTAGGTATGTATATGTGAGTGTATGTATATATTGACACACACACAATCAACATATGATAAAAATTTCACGATGTGTCAAAAAACTTTTCTCTTTTCTCTCGGATTTTTAATGGCGACTCAAATTTTTCGTACTTTTGAACAAAGTTTTTAAAGAAAAGTAAAAGACAAATTTCCTAGAAGCAGATTGATGCTGTATCTGGAAAACATCAATCAGCTGTGTTCTGTGTTGCGATCTGTTTATTATAGTGGGAGGATTGGGTGCACAGCACAGGAGATAATTTGGAGAAATATCCTTTCTGAAGAGAACGTGAAATGTTATTAATAACCACTGAAAACTATTACTTTCAAACTCAAGGAAAGTTGATTTTGTGAAGTATATTGTAAATGGAGGGAATGGAAGAAAATTTTTTAAAGTAAATAAATGAAATTAAAAAATTAAAAATAATTAGAAATGGGTATTTAAATAATTCTACCATGTTGCTGTTAGGTATTTTTTTAATAGCATAGGTTATGTAGTTAAATCATGTGCTATAATAAAGTTGAATTTCTCCGTTTTACATTAATAAAATGTTTGGAATAACTTCAATTAAGACCATTCCATAACTCAAAAGTATTCCATGGAATCATCTACATAAATAATTTTATTCTAACATTTTATATTCTTGCATATTGTTTGCATAGTATAGAGAAAGTATTCTAAAATAATCTTTCAGCACAAAAAGGGAATTTTTTGACTTAATAACATTCTGGGCTCCTGATACTGAAAACATGGATAAATCTTGTTTCTATGAGTAGTAAAATACTTCCTCTAACGTGTGTACCCAGAATTTGTGATTTGTGGGTTCTTGATATCCAAAAATTAGCCGACAGCAAAACACCTGTCTGTACATTAATCTGATTGTCTGTCATGTTAGAACCTATAGGAACCCAGGTGTGAAACTTGGGGTACCCGAGATAAAACATCTATGGGTTCAGAAGTAACATTTCTAACAGACATACTGTACATGACCCAATAAATAATGTCTAAACCATTGAAGTAGAGATCCGCATATACCAAAATGTTGCAATTTGCAGAGAAGAATGGAATGATTCACTAAATCGAAGGCCTTACTAAAGTCTGTATAAATACTATAGACTCCATTGAAAATTAACCTCCATTGAGTATATGAAGTTAATATATGAGATTGGCCTCAATATTCCTTCCAATAATAAAACCAGACTGTCTCTCTGACAGAAGTGGACAGATGAAGTAATTCAGTTTATCAACAATTATTGATTCAAATAGTTTAGGAATTACATTCAGAATTCTAATTTGTATATAATTAGAAATATAACTCTTATCACCAGATTTAAAGATTGGTACATTGTGTGAGGATTTCCACTCCTTTGGAAACAGACCTTTAAATAAAGATTTATCAAATAGAACCTTCAGCAATTGGGAGAAGACCAATTTACATTTTTTTTACAAAATCATAGGGATCCCAACAGGACCCATTTTCCCTTTCATGTCAAACTTTTCAATTTTTGTGAGTTCATCAGAAACGCTCAAATCAATGGAGTTCAAAAATCATGTACCTGACTTGAGTGATGATTATAAAAGGTTGAGAAATAACTTCCAAATACATTTACTATAGACAAGAATATTTGCATAGACAATTGAACCCATTCTCATCGAGTCAGGCAAACCTCTGCTAGTCTTCTTTGAGTTAATGTATTTCCAGAAGTTTCTTTTATCAGTACTGATATGTTGTGCAAGATCCTCAATAAACCTTGCGAAGTCACCCTTTGCTTGGTTTTTACATTTATATCTAAGATTGGAAAACAAAGTATATTATAATGGTGAGTCAAACGTTTTGTAGCATTCATGAGCTTGCTTGCTTCCTTCCTGAAAATTAATTATATTAGATCCTGACTATACCATTGATATTTTACAATAATAATAATAATAATAATAATAATAATAATAATAATAATAATAATAACTATAAAAAAATCAAAAAAAGAATCATTGGATAGGACTAAATTGATTTAGAAAATTCAATGCTGCAATTGGAACTAAGTATACACAGGTGAGACTAGAACACTTGCAAAAACACACCCATCAGCATAAGTGTGATATAAATAAGTATTCTAATGTACATACCTCTTTAACCCATCGTAGAACAGAATTGAAGCACATGATAAGATTTTGAAAAGGTAAATATTTTAAGAACTTAAACTTCAAGAGAAAAGGTTGACTTCTGAAATGATAAAAATTCTGAATAACATTTCAATGAATATCCAAAACTGACGTTTGTAAATTAAGTACTATTTATCAAAACAGTAATATGAGAGTTTTTCATCCTTTATATTTTTGGGAGGGGGGGGAAATCAACTATTACAGTTAATAATTACTTTCTACTGTTTATCTGTGGTTCTGGCTAGAGATTGGGATATAGATATTTCATGCAATGAAGCTAAAAATAAAAACAATATGCATATAGTTGTCATTATTCTGGTTCTAATGAACATACTTAGTCAACTCTTAACTTTTCAAAATAGAATTTGGATTTTTGATGACATTTTCAAATTGATTTTCTTGGTACGTTTTTTAAGTTGACATCTATATCTATTTTATATCATAGTTTGATTGGAGCCTATCATTAAATTGTTGTTGTATTTGTAGCTCTTTTATGGACATTTGAAAAATGTTCGTGTTGACAGTACCTGTTGAGGTAGGACACTTAGTTTTACAACTTTAGTAGTTTCAATAGTACACAAAATGTATATTAATGAAACAATTGATGTTAATGTAATTTTTAGGCGTTTTTTAAATATTAAATACAGTTTCCACAAGAAAGTGAATTTGTGATTTAACACAAACAACAGTACATTTTTTGAACAAACAAATTCATTGTGTTTTAATCAAACATTAGTGATACAAAAATTTTTGCCAAATTGAAAATGTCTGTTTATGTAAAGAATGATTTCCATTTGTTATAATTGTTCTGGTTTTTAATTGTTTGTTTCTCTGTTCTCTAATAGCTCTAATTCTCAATTCCGGCCCACAAGTCAGCACAGCACTCTTGAAGTTTGCTGCTTAGTTCATCAATGAGAAAACTGTGGAACAATCCTGTGTATGCATATTTTCTGTATAGTTGGGTTATTTGCTTTTAGACCTCTTTCATACACACCCACCAGATTATATAAGAACTTGTAAACTGTGATTAGGGTTGAACTTTTGTTCCTTTGTTTTTTGAAATGGTTCCTTTGTATGACTACTTAAAATCAAACCAAAAGATAGAGTGAAGGTTATTCAGTAATATTTCTGCACTTTTCGCAGTTAGATTTGTGTGTTTTTAAGATGCTCATCCTTTTATCTCTACTGTGACGTGCATAAAAATATTTTGATATAGGTTAAGGTTATGTCTAAGGGTTGCTTGTAACCCTTTTAATGCAAGCTTTTTTCTCACTCTCTGTTTTTGTGTTACGAATTACGATTGATTTACAAATGAAGACTGGAATTCTGAAACTACTAAATGCGGAAAGTCCTACTTGCAATTTATTGATAAATATATTTTAATTAATTATCAGGAAACCTTGTATAAGTAGCTATGTCATTAACACTTCTGTAACATTTTGAAGTATATTATGATGACTTTGCTACATGTATTAGAATCCCTTAAATTAATTAAAGCATGTTTTCTCAATATATAGCCTGCACCACTCTGTACACTTTTGAAAATGTTGGTATTCTAATAAAAACGCAATACTCTAGTACGGTATTGTGTTAATGGTACAAAATGTGAAACCGACTTTTTTATTTCTTATTTTGTTGCTTTTTCTTTATAAAATTTATTGCTCTTGAATATGATTTTGAATATTAATGGTGCTTTTTTATGACTTAATTTGCTGTAAAATTTATGATTTGGCATGTTACAAAGGAAGTATTTGTTAAATAAATGTCGGCTTGCACATATACTATTAGAAATAAATGTTTTATAATAAACTAGTTATCTTCAGTCTTCCTGACTAGAAAATTCAATCAATTAAGCAATGATCCAATATTTGAAGAAGAGATGATAGAAAATGCTCTGTTCATGACTTAATTACATTTTACTACTATACTTATTCCAGACTGCTCTATCCTTTGTGAACTCTAAATTACTTTGATTGCTCACCTCAGGTTCTAATTTTCCTAACACGTTCTCCATCATGGTGTGGCTCTCTTGCAAACTACAGAACTATGTTGTTTCTTCACTTCAGTTACTAGCTTCACTAGCTCTGCCATAAATACCATCACTTCTGATACCAGTCTGATGTGGACTCTTTCAAGAAGTGCTTCTCCTGCATTGCATTGCGTTTCTCAGCTAGCTGCCTGCCCTTCATTGCATGTCAGTTTTGCAGCTTACGCTTTCTTTCTGGTGGGACCTTTTGTAGTTCTTCCACCTCCTCCTGCTAGTTCAAGTTGCCTAGCTTTCTCTCGCTCTACAGCTGCCCCTGTAGCTGTTGCTTCTGCAGGCGCAACTCTTGCAGCTCCCCTCACATCTCCTTCATCTTTTATAAGACTTGGCACTGCGAGAAGAATCACCTTTCCATTGCTGCTACCTCATCTTCCACTGTGTTTGTCCTTGAAGCCTGAATGAAATGCCACAGATCGCGGGTCTGTAACCGCCACCACACTGCCAGGTAGATGCACTGTGTGCATTGTCATGTTCACTATGCACGTCACCGAATGGGTGCACTGAATGCACAAAATGCCACAAGACTGCACTGCATGCCGCAAAAACGCTCACACCCCCTTGTCAGGATGGCATACTTGCCTTCATCTGGCAAGAAGTCTGGAATATATGTGGTTGTAAAATTAAATAATAATGTTAATCCGACCCAGACGTAAATCAATGTTTAATTATGTTCATGATGTTGGCAGCAATGTTATTACGTAATATAAAGACCATTTACAAAATTCAAGTTGATCTTGGTCTTAATACTGCATTGCAAGTCCACAATTTTATACCTGGTGTAAAAAAAAAATATTTTTATGCAGTGTGAAGTTGCAGAGATTTTAGGAGTTGGTATCAAAATGAGACATTGACATATATATTTGTGAAGGTAGGTTGGATGTTTGTGTGTGCCCTAGTAAGAATAATATGGGTTTGTGTGTGTCATACGGAATGACTTTATTTCCTCATCAAACTATCCATCATATACAGTGAAGTTCATATAAGATATTTTGATGCAATACTCTTAACTTGGTGCTCATTGCTAAAGTGTGTTCATCATGGAACTCAATATTTTTTGACCTGGGCTGAAATTGTTTTCAATTTTCAGTAACTTGTTCCAGTGTGTTCTTTTACTGTTTTTAAATGTGTGTGGAATATCTTCTAATTACAAAAAGAAAAGAGAAATAAATAAATAAATTGCTTGGGAGCCAGTACTTACATATACTGTTTTCGCAGGAAAGATTTTGTCTTTACTGTAATCATTAGGATTTTTAACTTTATCCTTCATGTACCTAATAGTCCATTTCGATTTCTAATGTCTTACAGGTTCACTGTATATGATTTGCGAAGCAGAGGAGTTTTGCTACTTAAAACTTGTATTCTTCTGTTCATAATTTAATTGCTAGTTTTCTGATGCATGTATCTAAAGTAACTGAAATGTTGTTTCGTTGTTCCAATTGAATGATAAATTTTATGTTAATACTGTTATGTCTGGTCAACACTATGTTTATAATGTTATTTATTTGTAAAAAGAATGATGCAAAAATGTGAATAGCATAGATGTTAAGTCGTTGGTTTAAGAGAAGACTATCACACCTAAAAAATGCTATTTTTCTGTTTATTCAACATAACCCAAAAAGGTTAGTGTTTTTTTATGCAAACTATCACAAGTGTGTGAGCTGTCACGACAAAGTGTGCCTCCACCCCTCCAATATTACATGTATTCAAGATTGAATAAACTTTACTTTCGCTTGAATACTGTGCTTGAGGATGCAATATATGTGTTTTTGTCATATCAGTAAGTAAGTGAAACACACAAAAATGTATTTATAGAAATTAAAAAAAAAATACAATTCAGTTTTATTCAAACATACTTTAATGGACAAATTTATCTGCTTCTCTTTTGCAATTCCAAGGCAAGGCTATGACCTTAGACCTCCAATATTCTCGTGACTGGAAAAGGCAAAATTACGGATACACATTTATTCCCAAAAAAATCCTACAGATATATTCTTGCTCTCTTCACCCATCTTGCTGAGCTTGCAAATGAAGTGGCCAAGGTAAACTAACATTCAAACAGAAGATATTTGCGGATCTTTAATCTCCTCTCCTGGAAAATTACTTTTTTTTTTTGGGTTGTGAGAGTCTTCCAAAACAACTAAGTTTTTTTTTTTTTCCCTCTTCTAATGAATTGGGAGAAATTCCAACAATTTCCGATTGCCTTGCACAACAGGTTGTGCAGATGTTTTCATTCTTCACCTGATGATAAAAATATATTTCAAGTTATTTGATGAATGCATATTACTTGCTATCACATTTTCTGATATTGTAGGTTTTGATGCAAATTGAATGGTAGAATTTGGAGTATTATCCTTCCTCTCGTGCTCAATATGTGCTTGTTGTACATAATATGTTACAGCTCCTTTCAATCTCACTCTCACTTCTTTCTACCACTTAATTTATCATGCCTAAAACATGCAAGTATTGAAGCTCAACACACTCATAAACTCAATGTTTAACACATTTTCATAATTCTTAATTGTAATTTCTTTGGTGGTGTTATAAAACGGTTAAACCCACCGAATCCATGATCGTTGTTAAATATGTTTCTCAGTAGAATATCATTCATGGGCCCCAATACTGCTGCAACTCAAAAAATGAGAATATTGTGTTACAACCATTGTATAACAATTTTTATGTATTATTATTATTATTAACAGAACTGTTATGAAGCCTTTTAATAATGCTTAACTCCACAATCCTATCAATTATTGTGTGTGCGATATCTGCATTTCAATCGTGAGTAAAAACTTTGAGTTGTGCCAGTATTGTATCCCGTGAACAATATGTTCCATACATTTTAGTGTTCCAAATCTAAGCAGTGTTTGATTTGCAAAGCTATTCTGTATTACATTTTAATATATGGCCCCAAATGTGATATTATTGATTAATTATCTTCTATGTACATATTCATTTTATCACATCAGAAAGAGCATTGTCATAGTTATAAATGTACAAACAAGTACAAAATATTTGTAACAGTATGGTCAGTAAAATATTTATTATTTTTATTGTAATTGAAGTTACAAATATGAATTTTAAAACAACATTATTTGTACTTAATAGCATTTTATTTTTATGTTTTAGAAGAAGAAAATGTTTTGTTAATTGAAAGAAATATGATAATGAAATAATTGTAATTCATTGCAGTAACATATTTGCTTCATTTTGAATGTATTTCATGAAAATGATAATTCAATTTTTCCTTTCGCTGGAGAAAATTTATGAAACCTTAAAGCCAGCCAGTATTAATGTTGTTTTCCTCAAATCAACTTTAACTTCACATATGATACATTCAATTTGGTGTTTGAAACTAATTGAAGAATGAACCACGGTTAAAGATGTGAAAGATGATAATAGAGTAGATGATGTGTAATGTTGCAATCCGTTCATGTATGGATGTGAGAGACCATTTTCTTATGACATGAATGATAAAGAGCTCAGTTTGTATTTTTTTTAATATTCTAATGAAGGCCTCTTAAAAACTAGAAACATTTGTATACTTTCCCCTCCCACAGTTTAATAGCTTTATACAACTTGAGCTCTGTTTAATACTGTTAATTAGTTGTGTATATAAATTTGATTTGTATGTCTGAGTAATAAACTATAGGAACAAAATATCAATGAAAACTGTCAACATTCTCTATCAGGTACTTTGCATGTACAGTTAAGAAGTTACTGTTAACTACTGATCTGGCCATATCATGCTATTTTCTTGGAATCAGTGATGAAATATGTAATTCAGATGTCTTGCAGTTTTCTTGATGTAGCCCTATTATGTTGAAACTTCCAGTAGGGATTTGTAAATTACAATACAAATCATGAATGTGTAAATGAGTTGTATGCATCTTTAATTTTACTGACAGGTTAATGGTGCACATGTGCTCCAAATCTGAAGGTAGCTCGTGTGTGTATCTGAGTATTGTTTTCTTTTATACCAAAAATGTACATTTTTCAGGTTGCTATATTTCTTATGTAGTTTACTTTGTTACCAAGTAGGTAATAATAAATGATAGACACATTTCAGATTATTTCATATAGTTGTCTATTATTCAGTTTTCATTGAAATTGTATTTATTTCATTGGCAAAGTATGCTAATAGTATGAGTTTTGGTATCGGTAATTGTGTTATCCTTCCCATCCTGCCCATTTGTGTACCTTTTCAAGGATATATATGCTGCAAAAGTATTCATGTGCACAGTTTGGTGGAGAACACGTATTTATGAAACAAAATAAAAATGATATAATTTTATGGAAAATTGTTGATGCTAACAATACTCTAAAAGATGCTGTTAAGTTCCTCAAAAGGAGAACTAAAGCTCTAAGACGCTCATCATTATGAGCTTATTATATTAATTAAAAATTCTGCACTTTTCTTTAAATCAAGAGTAGATACACTGCATCGACAATGTGAATGTTACTAATGGCGCAATATCTTAATTATGCGTTGAGTATATGTGTCTGACGATGGCCAATTACCCGGACGAGCGTCTTGATCTTGTCGGTGAGTTAAAGCCTCCCCGTTTGTCTGTTGATCAGCTGTGCTGACTTAAGAGTCCTTACGTCGTCACTGAGTACTAAGCCCTCGATGGCTAGCGGAGTGGAACGCGTGTCAGGCGTCTCTCGTATATCACACAAGTGCTGACGTACGTCACCAACGCTCGGCTCACTGTTTACTGTAACAATGACGCTCGCAGCATCCGACTTGTTAGACAATGTGCTATGATTCGGGGCTGCGTGGCCCCTATGGTCACGTAATAGGTTCCTCGCAATTTATCTCGACCTTTTTTTTTTATTGAATATTTGTGCAACAGCGTTTTAAGTCCTTTTGACGTTGAACGCGAGGAGTAATTCTCCATGAACATACTAAGACAATATTACATCAAGTCAGTCATTGTCTTTTATCCATATCTGCCGAGGGCTTAGTGCCGGTAGCAGTGGTGAAGCGCTTAAGAGGCTTTTGAGCATTAGCCTACCCAAAAATTCGAGAAAATTAATTATAATCTCTGAAATATGAAATAGTTAACTAGTATTGAAGTACTCGATTTTTCAGATTGTTCGTTCGGACTTAGTTGTACGCGCGCTGTGCTGAATCGCATTCTGCAGCGACTCTTCCTCTGAGGCTTTGTGGCGATGACCTCCGCGCGCCCGCTCAGTGGGGAAATCGCAATGGGAACTAGGCAACCAAGCCCTTCAGTGAGACTAGCCTCTGCACGTGCGCTGGACTGCTGGTGAACTGTTTGTTTAACGACCGAACGCAATATTCCAGAGATTCGGGCGAAAAGTTTCTCCAAGATTAAGTGGGCGCGTTTTAATACATTATTGCGTATGAAATGGCACAAACTGATAGAACACTTAATCATCTATTCATTTAATTAAATTAAACTTTTTCCAGTTGGTCTTATGAAACCAAATGCATGTATGAAGATCTAAGGTTCACATCTCATTTAGATGTTAAAGTAACTGATGGAGAACAAAACAGAAATTTTCAATACTCCTATAAAATAATATTCATATAAGTATAAAAAGTACCGTTGGTTTGCAGGGTGTTCTCAAACTAATAAGTTATATTGATATACTAGTATTTTGTATAGCGGTGGAAAAGAATGCACATCAGCTGCATGTAATGTCTCTGTAACCAAAAATTTCGCGAGAATGGCAGAAAAAATCAATCCTCAAGAAAACGCCTTCAAAATGAAGGGAGTTTTCATTTATTTGGGCGACAAAGAATTGAATATACTATTTCCGAAGGAGCCAAGTTTCAAGCTATTAAGCCAACTGAACTAGTGAATCAAAATAGATCATTAGTCGAGAGACTTATAAATGATGTTTTTTTTAGGAAAACAGGTACTGTACTTGCTTTAGTAGACATACGGAAGATGAAAGTCTAACAATAAAGAAAATTATCTTGAATTATTGGAACTTTCATCTCTGACTATCGCGAACAACAATTTATTCGCGACCATCTGCAGAGCACTTCTAGTTTCAAAGGTACCTCAAGTACTATTCAAAATGAACTGATTGAATTGTTTACGGAAGTAATATGTGAGCGTATTAAGAAAAATTGTGTTCTTGTGAGTTTGTTGGTGACCAAGTAGACGAAATTCCTTATGTTTCTTGTAAATCGCAAATGAGTATTATTATTATTAGATTTTGTACAGAAGAAGATCCCAAGGAAAGATTTAATGATTTTTACTATGTTTCGAGTGACAAAGCTGCCTCTGGACTATCAAAGTTATTATCAATGTGCTTAGTTCTTACGACATTGTTGACAAAATTGTAAGCCAAACATGATGGGGCCACCGTTATGGCAGGAGATCGAGGTGGTGTTCAACATTACTTTGAAGTGCGTCCTAGAGCTGTACTTTTACATTGTTACGCTCACACACTAAATCTAATTATGTTACATGTCGAAAAATACCAAACAAGTTAGGCTTTTTATCTATAATCTTGCCGCTTTCCATATATTTTTCAGTAAGTCTTCAAAAATAACACAACTTTTCGAGAGTAAAAGATTCAGACTACCTCAAACATGCAGCACTCTTAATTCTAATTCCCAATCTGTTTATGTAATTTACACAAAATACAATGATACGGAATACAATAATTCGTATGAAAGACATTTTCCAAAATATCACCGACTATAATGAAGACTGGGACTCATTCAGCTGTGCTTCCGGCGTGTTAAATATCTTGCACAACAAAGTCCTTTTCCTTCTTCGTCTTTATAAAAACATATTTGTAAATATAAACACCATCTTTTTGAGCTCCTACAACAACAAATTTAATTATATGAAAATATGAGGAATTCTGAGGTTAAAAAGACCATTGGCACATTGAAAAACATGTGATCAGAAAAAACTCTTAACTACTTGCCTTGAGTGGTGTAAAATATTTTATAAAGAAATAAATAATATTGACCACAATTTCTAGCCTCTAAAATTCTTGGCTTATGAAATAATAGAAACATTAATTACTCAAATGGAAACACGTTTTAGAGATCTGGAAAATATGCAACTAATTTTCTATAGACAAACTATAGACAAACATTAGTTTGAAAATTATAAAATAAATTTTATATTACAAAATTGAATGGCCTTTTGACAACTTATCCGTTTTTCACCAAAGATCGACTGGAAAATGAATTAAAACTGGTTGTGCTGCCAATGCACATACTCATCGCAATGTTTCTAAACGCTCCGCAATATTATATTGATTTGGATATTATATTGAACAATTGATTTGATGTGAGACGTTTTACAAATAGAACAAGAGAATGGTACACTAGTCTAAAATTTCAAAATACGAAAAGACATACAGACACTTTCAGTTCATTTAGAATCTTAATAAATTGTATATGTGAGTAGAATTGTTTCAAAAGATTTTCAATAAAAATTTCTGATATTCTGAATAGTTTTCTGCACCAACAAAGAGTTGTGACAAATAATTATCCCCGAGCCAGGCTCCCTCTGAAACGCTAAGTCCGAATCCGACATTTAACCCCTTCGGCCACCCGGGTTAAACAGAGAATTGGCATGTCTATTATAGGCTTAAGCGCCGAAAGACAACACATCATTTGTCGAGACATTCGTTTTACAAATCCAATAAGAGATGTGGAAAATTGTTTAGAAGTTGAACATTCGAAAATCACATAAAGACACTTCCTGTTTATTTATCTTAACTAATAGTATTTGCGATTAGAATTGCTTCAAATGATTTTTAATAAAGTTTCTGGAATTCTTAATTATTTCCTGTGGCAACCCATAATTGTCACAAATAATATTTCCCGACCAAGACCAGCAGATCTGCCCTCCGAAGAGCTGAGTCCGTAAACACCGATTAACCACCTCAGTCACTCGGGTAGTTCATGGGTTTTACAATTATGAAATAGTAATAAGCGTATGGTGGTTTCAGTTCGACCAAAGAAGATGTCTGGGAAGAGAATCAGTCACAACTGAAATCCTAGTTTAGACTAAAGAGATTAGAAAACTTAATACTGCGAGATAGTCTGTGCCATTCTATAGAACCACTAGTTTATATATTATTTATTTATTTATTTATTTATTTATTT